AATTTATAATCAGTCACAAGAACGTCGAATCTGAATCACTTGAAAAAAACATGGGGGTGCTTAACTTTTTTCCTAGGTGTATAAATTTAACTGTCAGTCATTCTAAGCTCTAAATAGTCAAAATCAAACCTAAAACATATTGTATTTCATTATATATTGTTGTAGGCTATATTTTATATTTTAATGTTTTGTTCACTATAGCAAGTTTTTACACGACTTAGTTATTGTGTGAAGTCTGGAAGTTTCATGTGGTATCTGAACATTTGTGAAAAAGTTTACAATATACGTGTTCAGAGTCAGTTAAAGAGATTTATTTAGACAGTTTGTGTTTCAGTCATTTAGTTACTTTGATATTCAGATATTGGAAAAATAACAAGTCAGAAAGCATGTTTGATCAACTGATTAGTGAGGAAATTTTGAAAGCAAATGACATTAGTTTTGTTTATGAGTTAGGTGTATATTAGTTTGGGATTTTTGTTGAAACATTATTTGTGAAGTTAGCCTACCAATAAATGTAGTCTGTAGCCTGAATAGAATGTTAATAAGTTTATTATTGTTAAGTGGACTGGACTTCACATTATTTTTACAAAATAACTCAAAAAACCCACCCAATGATACAGCACCTTAAAACAATATATTAGACAGACAAATATGTTTAAAAAAATTGGTATGCATCATATTAAAATTGACAAAATAAAATCACATTTAGGTATTTTTCTTAACATACTAATTTAAAATATAAAAATAAATTAGCTGTAAAAAAAACCATATGTACCATTTACCCATCCTAACTCACTCTTATTCTATACTGCCTTCGTGTTAATAATTTAATTTTAAATATATGCATAATCCTTCCAACTCTTTTAGTGATTACTAGCAAATTCCTAATAATTGAACTTACTTGGAAAATCAGAATTTCTTTTGTTAGTTAAGTTTTTGAAAAATCAACCTCAATTTTTTTCAGAAGTATTGATAAAACAATTTAATATGCTGTTTTTGCCTATTGGTATCTATATCATTAGCTCAAATTGAAAGATAAAACTTGTCAAAATAGAAGTGTTACAATCTTTCTTTTCCAAAAAAATTAAAAGCAACAATTTTCATAATTGTTATCCTTACCAAAAGGAAACAGCCAAGTAGTTTTGTATACTTCATGCTAATCAAACAAAACATCACTACTTACATAAAATGGGTGTAGACATTATCATCTAACAATGTTGAAAGAATGAGGTTTTTCTTTGTCATGTCATAAACAGGAAGTTCAACTCCAACAACAATAGCTGCACGTTGGGCTGTTGGGCCTACACCCTATAAGGATGAAGATATAATGAATAGGAATATAAAGGCAATCATTATAGTTTGGATAATTAAAACATTGCTGTTGTATTCTCTCTCCCATTAAAAAACTAACAAACACTAAAAGTACATGTCAACTGTAAAACGTTTTTTAAGTTCATACTACAAAATTAGAATTGCTAGATAGCTTTAATACATTTATTTACTCTCCTGTGATATACTTGCTGCATCCTATAGGTACATCTTTAGATTATCTCTGTATAACCTCCTTGATCTATATATAACCGTTGGATTGGCATCTCTTTAATGCAAGCAGAGCCAACTTGTGGATTTTTGAGGACCTGAGCATGTTTACAAATGTTTTATTAAATATTAAAGATTTATTTTCAAGGGATGGTACAGTGCCACCTCTTATCTCTAATGTATATTGCTGACTCCATAACATTGAATTATTAATGACCAAACAATCTCTTATTAAAGAAGTGGGTGTTAGATTGATTGCAATAAGATTCTCATAAACATATCTGTTGATTGATAAGAAAATATGCACTTATTGTATTTTATTATTATTATTTTTAATTATTATAATAGATTTTTAGAGAGTTCCTAGGTGCCTGTGTTTGAGCCTTGTATACCTATGTATGCTAAAAGTTTAACCTAATCTTGAACTACTTTGCAGACACCCATAATATTTGTGTATTCCGTAAAAGACATTATATGCAGGCATACCTCACATTTTCTACCTTTTATACTTATAATTTTTTATTTTAATTATTTAGTTTTTGCCCTGTTGTGGTGACTACCATTGTTACCTCTCTTTTATTCTAGTTGCTTTGTTCTCTAGTAGGTGATGTCTTTTATATTTGCAGGGATATTTCGGTATTGCATATAGACTCTGAATTGTAAAAATTAGCACTGAAATATCCTTTGCTGGTCAATTATGTCATTGAATGAAAGTGACAGCCAAACAATACTGAGAGGGAACAAAGGTTAAGAGGTGACTGCTGACTGGACAAAGAAAGTGAGTTAACATTCTAAAGCACACTTTCTTTGTTCATTTCTACTTGGTATTCATCATGACTAGTTTGAAAAAAGATTTACCTTGATGGACAGAAAACTAATTAGATATTCAGTAGAGGTGATTGTCTACGCAAGTACACACACAAAATGTGTGTGTGTGTGTGTGTGTGTGTGTGTGTGTGTGTGTGTGTGTGTGTGTGTGTGTGTGTGTGTGTGTGTGTGTGTGTATAATTAACTTAATTACTTATACTGTTATTAGTATGTAGTACTTTCTTTACTTACTCATACGTAACTTAAACTTAAAGTTACT